AACTGGTCTGTTTGCCAAATCCATTAAGAGGCTGTAAATTTAGATATTCTCTTTTTTAAATTCAGCAGTGTACTGTTGCTTTTTGGATTCTAGTTTGCATGTCACTCTTTAATTGATGTGCAGCTATTATAATGTATGTCTACTATTTCATTTTACATTTATTTTGTGAATTAATTCAGCCACTGGTTGGAGGAAGCTGAGTTTCATCCAGTTGTCAAGCATGTGTTTTTTTCTACTTTTGAGGGAGACGTGATGGTTTTCATGCTAAATATTCCTTGGCAAGAGAGCTAAAAGGATCATTTGTCAGCATTTCCTATTTTGCTGTTCAGATTGTGAATGCAAAATTTTGCTTAGCATGCAGATATTTAGACTTATTGCCTTCTCTTGTTTGCATTTAGTTTTGGCACATATCATATATAAATTTTAAGATGTCAGGAATCATTATGAAAAGCCATTGCGTTTCAGCTCACATGTTCTGCCAAGTGTTGAAACTGAATAAATACAGTTACCAAATATTTGGTGAAATTTCAACCGTAATGAGATTATGTGGGGGTTGTTTGACACGATCATTCTGAAGAAGAATTATAGGAACAAATTTGTAGCCAGTTTTGCTGTCTTGCGGAGGAGAGGGGAACCAGATGGAGAATTCTAACACTAGTATTCGTAGTGTGGTAAAAGAGCACTGAAAACATTTAGAAGCATTCTGGATCAAATGTGACAGTTTGCTTGTAAATGCATATGGTGAAATGTAACCCAAGAAAGGTTAATTGTTGCTTGTACTCTGCAGAGTGCTTAGGAATGTCAAGGATATGCAGAAAGCTGAAATAATCATAAAGAACTTTAACTATGACATTCTTAATCACATGCAGAGGGGGATTAACTTTAGCTTACTAAATTAATTCTAGCTTCAGTCTTGGAACTGAAAATAACTCAGAGGAGAATCTGGAGATAGTTTTATAAAAGCTTCCCTTATCTATTTCTTTTCCCATGGTGTGCAGGTCCTTGCCTACCTACATACATATAATGAATTATTATATGATGAATTATTTTTGCTTAATAACCAAGCATTTCCAGCACTGCAACTCCAGTCTTTTTAAGCATTTTAAGACAAGAGATGATCATAATGTAATCTTCAGGTGGAATCACTGAGATGAAATTTAATCATGACTGAGTTAAACCCACCAATTTAATTGGGCCTATTATAATAACTTTGGACAAAATCTAACAATTCTACTCCCTAATTGGGGCTGTTTTATCAATGGAACTTAATATGTCCTCAAAACCTGCTTCAGAATGATGGGACAATTTGATGGCTCCAGTCAGCTTGGAGGACTGCTGGGGGAGAGGGAACTTCATTCATATTAGTGAGCATATAAATGCATGATATTGATTTTTGGCCTTAATGCTATACATGTTTCTCCTTTTTCTTCTTTTCTGCCTATTTAGTATAGATCAGGGGTCCCTAAACTAAGGCCTTGGGCCAGATACGGCCCTTCAAATTGATTTACCCAGCCCTCATTCAGGGTCAACCTGATTGTCAACAACAATCCTATCTCATCAGCCAAAAGCAGGTCCACACTTTCCATTGAAATACTAATAAGTTTGTATTTGTTAAAAACTGTTCTTCGTTTTAATTATTGTATTGTTTTAAAGTGTTTTTTGCACTACAAATAAAATATGCGCAGTGTGCATAGGAATTCAGTCATTTTTTTCCCCAAATTATAATCCAGCCCTCCAACAGTTTGAGGGACTGTGACCTGGCCCTCTGTTTAAAAAGTTTGAGGACCCCTGGTATGGATTGAGTGCTGCTTTCCCATTAAATAGTTTAGAAACAAGATTCTAATATCCGTGGTTTTTATCATTAACTTTTCTTCACAATATATTATGTAAAATTACACAATAAAATATATAATTAAAATGCCCTTCTTCCACTGGAACTGCATTCATTCATTCATTCAGTTACTTATTTTATACCTTGCCTTTTCCTTGTTTCTCTAAATTGGAGATCAAGGCGGCTTATGAGATAGGAACTACAAAAACTACCCTTTTAAAAAGCTCTTAGCATGTAAAGCAATTAGGTTCTGAAAGCCTGGTGGAAGAGAGAATTTTTGGCTGTCCAAAAAAACACACAGCAAGGAATGAGCCTGCCTAGCCTCCCTGAAAATGAGTTCCAGGACCTTGAGAAGACCCTCTATCCCATTCCCACAAAATGCACATGTAAAGATGATGGGACTTAAAAACACAGCTCTGCTAAAAAAAATTGACCTTAGGCAGACTCATTTTTTAAAAGCTCAGTCCTTGGTTTATAGATTACAAGCAATGGTTGTCTGATTAAGCCTTAGTTTGCGTGTCCTCACTACTGCTGGTTTAGATCCGGTTTAGAAGCAAAACTGTTTCCTTGAATTAAGATGGAATGGTGAGTTGGGTATCACCAGCTTGTTGATGCCACAAAACCTCAAAACTGTAGGCATTATCTCCCAGCACCGCTTATATATGTTGAATAGTATAGGAATTATTGAGGGAAGATTTATCATTCATAGTAGAATCTTCTGAGACATTTTTTGACTTGAAGAATTTCAGTTTTTTTAAGCTGGATGTTTTAGCCTAAATTGTCCTGGGGAGCAGTGGCCTCCCATAATGGATAGGAACTTTTTCGATAAAATAAAAAATACAGATATATAGCTACCAGTTAGAAATGGGTTGGATTATTACAGCCTGTCTGTTGACTTAGGGCAGCCACATGAATCACATGCCTTATGCTTATTCACAGTAGGAAATCAAAAATGTATATTTACTGCAATCTCTGAACAAGAGATTCTGATATAGAGACCATCTATTCTATTCTCACAGTCCCAATGCCGTCACAAGTGGGACAAGGGAAAGGGCCTTCTTGGTGGTGACCTCCCAGCTCTGGAATGCCCTCCCCAAAGAGATTAGACTGGCCCCCACATAATGTTCTTCAGGAAGGAATTAAAAACTTGGCTAGGGAAGCAGGCTTTTGAAAATGGCTAACTGCCATTTGAGTGATGGAGGTTCTAAATGAGAGAAAACGCTAACTGGTTTTTACCAATAAGAGTTAGTTTTGTGATTATTATTTTTAGTATATTACATGCCTTCATGATTACATAGTTTTATATTTATTAATGATGTCTCTATGTATTATGATTTGTCCTTTGGATTTGCTGTTTTGATTTTAACTGTTTTGATCTGGTTATGTGAACATTATTATTTATACTGTATCTTCTTTGTTGTAAGCTGCCCTGAGTCTCCCTTGGTAGAGGGGGGGATATAAATAAAGCATTATTATTATTATTATTATTATTATTATTATTATTATTATTATTCTATGTTCAGGCATGCAATATGGTTGGATATAGAACATGGAGGGAGAAATACCCCTTCATCCTTATATTGAAACACCATGCTTATTTTATACTCACAAAGAGTAGTTCCCAGTAATGCAGAACTGAATCAACTACAGTCAGATTTTATCAAATTACTGGCACAGTATGGCTCAAGTATTGCAAATTAGGTTCTACCTGTTTGCACGGAGAAATTTAAGCACATATTTGTTTTCCTCTCCCATTTTACCTTTGATTAGATTTTGCCACATACTTCCAAATGTTAAAAGTCAGGGTTCATGAAGTGTTCATATTGGGGTTGGTTGGAACTACATGGATGCAATAAAATAACTATCCAGCCATGTGCTTACCAAAATGTGATGTTAAAGAGTTACAGTAATCCTAGTCTGGTTTTTCATTGTATTTTTTTCTGGAAAGAATAATTGACTAACGTAGAGCACATAAAGCTACTTCTTCATTCCTATCAGTTAGTCATACAGTGCATGGAGTTATTGATTCCATTAAATGTAGCAACAATGTCAAATATAAGATCAAAAATTCCATTCTGATGTATATTTTAAAATGGTAGGTGTCTGGATTTGACTAGATTTTAACCTAGCAGTTCATCAGTTAACTTTTTCTCCTCTGAAGTAGCACAGGGCACTGTGACATCACTCCTATTTCTCCTTTGAACCATTTGATGGGAGTTTCTTACAGTTCAAGAGCAAATGATCCCCAAAACTACATACAAAAACTAAGTTTTTTGAAGCTATTCTGAGTGTCTTTTTTCCCCCATGAAAAATGTGTTGTTCCTGCTGGGAGCCTCAAAAGGTCAGAGAGAGTTGAAAAAGCTACACTGTTATTCCCATTTTTGTTTTGACAGTTCAAATAACTGTTCGGATAAACCAAGTAATTACAGTGGAATTGTTTTTCTATTGCTAAACATAGTTTACATTTACATTCACAGTTTGTAATGAGCCTCAATCTAGAACAAATTGCTCATATTTACATCTGATTTTAAGTCTGATTCAACTAAAAAATACAATATACCAATTAATTTTTGTGTGGATTCAAAGGGCTACACTACTTTTCTTAATTTAACCCATCATATTTGTCTAGATGTAACTAATTTATCTCCATGAAATTGCTTGTTTAGCTTTTTCATGTCTTACCGTTGGATTTGTTTGGTAGTTAGGCTCAATAAGGACAAAACAGTGCTTGATCGAGCATACTAAAGACTTCTTGTATAAATAGCAATTGTTTTGATGATTATTTTTTTCTTATAGCAAGAGTGAGGAAGGAAAGTTTTCCCTTCTGGGGCCCCATTTTGTAACTAACAGAACCCCCCAGGGGCCCATCTGAATGAAGCCCCAACTCTCCATCCAAAAAAATTGAAAATTTGATTCAATTTTTTAAAAGTTGGAAAAGTAACAACCTGGGAGCAGCGTTCAACTTTCAGCTCTCATCATGGAGGATGGCACCGCACTTGCTCCATGAATTCTGACCACTTGTTTACAGTAACCAAAGTTTATAGGTTTGGAGTCAAACTTAGTCATGGGATTTAAATTACTGTTGATTATCTCTAGTTTGACAAACAAGTTGTACATTATATACGTTAGATATGTTTGCCCTTAAACATTTATATATCTTCTCTTGCAGCTCTATCCAGGGGCAATTCTTGAAGTGTGCGGATGAAAATTGGGGAGGTTCCCTCAAGTTCAGGGTGAGTGTAATTGTAACAGATGCAGTCTTTTGTTTCCTGTATCAAAATGTGTCACAAAAATGTAAACCCTTTTATATCTAAATTGTTTGTATAGCTCTCAAAGTAAAGTCCCATCCTTCTGTGGGTATATATAGCTTCGGAATTGCTGGTTTTGCAAATCCCAGCTGATAGAAAAGGGAAATGGAAAGCATGTATTGACAGAGGAACGGTTGCAAATAGAGAGAAGGGAAAATACTGTTAACAAAAGCCATTAAAATGGCAGCATTTTTCTCTGATTTGTTTGTAAAGATTAAACTTTAGTATGGTGAAATGCCTCTCTCCCCTTTCAAATCCCAGTATACAAAGTTCACAATGAGTGCACAAAGCTATTACTCCTCAACCTTCATTTAAAATTAAATAGGCCTAGAAACACGAAACAGTTTGTAAACTGCACAGCTGTTCAACATTTCAAAAAGTTTTCTCAGGAGTGCTGCAATATTAACATTTCCTTGGAATATAACATTAGATGAACTGAAAGCATCTTAAAAACTAGTAACCGGGGAGGAAGGGGGGTACAGAAATGGATTTAGCAAGTGAAGTGAGAATTGGGTTGCTATTTTAACCCAAAAAAGCAGAATACAGTAGGTTTTCAGCTTTATTTTCTGTGACAAAGTCATTACTGTGATTGTCAGCCAATAAATTGTGTAATCCCTATATCCTCTGCAAAATGTCAGATTTACTTTATAATATAGTTTTCCACCCACTCTGTTTCTGGATTCCCTTCTTGGAATTATAACTTCAAAAAGATGGAAAATTATTGTTTTCTTTAAGCAAAGCCATTAATTGTTTGCTTTTTGTGTCTGGCAGATATCTTGCTTCCTAATGGTGATGGGGTTGGCAAATCTTGCATATGAATCTGTAGCTAAGGAGAGATGCAGAGGAAAGATTGAGGGGGAAATTCCACATAGTCACCAGAATTTTCCCTTAATCATGAACTTCCATTATATATGTGAGCACAATATATATAGTTCTGCTTTGAAAGAAAGATTGAGTTGCTAGCCTGGTAGCTATGTGAGGTTTCTTTTGTTTCTTTGTTTTTATTTGAATGTATATTAATAGTTGGATATAAATGACTTGCCATCATCCAATTTCAGCCATTCCAGTGCATGGATCTCTACCTTGACGCTGTCCCTAACTATTCCAAGGCTGTATTAAAAAGAGCTCCATAGTGCTGAGCTATTCTGCTGATAATACTTTATATTAGCTGTCTTAGGAGCCATATGATGGGGGGGGGGGGGGACCAAGCATTTGACTGAGAAATGGACAGTGGCTTCTGAGGTTGACATAAGGAGATTGAGAAAAATGGCAGAGGAAGTAGTCCATGCACGAGCAATTATATGTATGTAAGCAAAGAATAAAGATGAGGATGCATTATTGTGTAAACATCATGTGTTATATTTTCAGAAATGGTTTTTTGCTTAACGTACACTTATCCCGTTTAACATCTTCTTGATCCGGATTAGCCTCCAGCAATTTCCTAGTGAAAACTATTACATTGGCACTAAAGGCTATATTTGTTTCTGCATGTCGCTTCAATGGTTTTTATAGAATATAAGGCTCAATGAAGGTCATCTGCCGCTTTGGAAGATGGGAGTATTCTTAGGTTATATTGAACTGTGTGGCCTTTTATTGTCAAAACTTTCACTGCCAACATTTCAGTTCATTCTTGCATGATAGGACCCACTATAATTTTTGTCCCTTAATGAGTATTATAAAGTTGTAGCATCCACTGGCGGTGTTGTATGAGCTTGTAATAACAGTGATAATTGTTCATTCTGTGCTGCCTGTGAGTATAATCTTTATAACAGAGGCCACTGAACTATAGTTGGTTATTATAGTTAGCTTTTCAATAAAATCTGACCAAATGAAAGTTATTGATTTATGAAAACTTAAAGAAAGCAATACAGATTAATGGAATCACTGCAGAAATAGTGATCACAGATAAGTAGTCTTAAAAGTCCCATCCATAACACTGTTCTCTTTTATTTGCCTCATAGCTTCACTTTTCTGTCTGTAATAAATACATCTTAACTAAAACTTGCCAGTTAAATAAATGCCCTATTAATTGATTTGTAATTTTTGTATAATCTCATTTTATACTGTCTTTAATTTTGAGAATGTATTATATTCCCCCACACAATATTAAGTTATTAACAGGTAAAAGGCATTTGCGCTAATAAAATTGTAGGAGTGAAGGTAATTTATTTGATGATCTCATCATAATATGATTAAATAATCTCCTATGACCTATCAGAAATATTTCCACATTCAATCTTTGCAGCTTGACCTTGGAAGTACAATTTGCACACCAAAAAGAAACCTGGTTCATTCTGCTTGAATGTACAGTATGTGGTTGGCAGGAGGACCAGGCAGTTATAATTTGCCCCTAACCTCAATAGGAATTATTGGCCATGTTGCCAAAATGATCTTGAACTAGGAATAGGCAACTGTAGTCTTCAGAATTTTTTTTTTTTGGACTTCAGTTCCTGCCAGCTGTCCCAGTTGGTCATACTTGTAGGCCAAAGCAATTCCTCACCATAAAAACACTGTAAAAAAAGTTCCCATGTTTTTAATCTATTGCTGTATGGTATGCGTTTCTTGCTCATTTTGAATGTATGAATAAAACCTATGACTGTATTCTTACTCTCTCAAGAGCCTAATGAATAAACTCTCATTCATAGCGGAAATTGTACTTTTATCCCACATTACAGTTTTTTCCTTTTCTTAAAATCTTTTGAAACTTGCTCATCCTCAGATAACTTCCCATATTAACAGTGTCTTGACAGAAAATGAAACAGAAGCAGGCTGTCTCCTCATTTCCCCCCTTAATCCAGACAGTGTCTCTATTCATCTTCACTAGATTTAGAATACTGGCAGTGCTACAATATGTCTTATAGTTTAAGTTGACAGAAACATAGAAATACTGGTGTTAGACCTTTCTTTTCCTATCCTCCTGCCTGGTTTTGTCCTTAGGCATAGTTAGATCGGCCCTTTCTTGTGTCATTGCAGCAGCAAGACCAGAATGTGCCTACAGCCAAGTGTCTTTTAGTTGAGCTCAGCACAATAGTTACATGCACTGCCAAGTCCTCAGTTCATTGGTCAGCCAAACAATTTGCAACTCACCTGGACAACGTAACAGTGGTCCCCAGGCAAGCAACTTAGTGATATATAGCTCTGCCAGTACACGTTTCCTGATGTTACTTGTCTGCTTTCACTGTTTCTGGTCCAAGGCTGGCAGCCATGACAGTGATGTATTCTCTCATGAGGCAACAGTGCATACCCTGTGGCTGCTTCATGTGGGCATTTGTCGCCGAGAAGAAAGATAAAGAAAGTAGTCAGTAATGATATGAGATCGAAAGAGGTGATGACAGCCATGCCTTTAAAACCACCTAGGTGATGTTGGGCTCAGTTTTACTCTGCTCAGTTTTGTATAAAACCTGAAGCTTTGGTCCTAACAAGAATCCAATGGTATTTATTTTCCTATTTGCTCGAAATAGTAATTGTGTCTGCTTCTTTTATGAGGAGTCTTCATCTACAACATGGAGGAATCACACGCAGAGAATAAAATGTCAGCAAGGCATCTGGCATTTGCTCAGATCACACAATCATTTAAGCTTATACCATTTGTTGCTGGGCTGTCTGTATAAGTTTATTGATACATCTGGAGTGCCACAACATATTTATTTTCAGGGGCTTATATATATATATATTTAGAATAAATTTATTTATTTTTTATTATAGCTTTTGTCAGGAGTGACAAGCCCAAACTTTTCAGGGGACTGCAGATCAAGGTGTGTACTGATTTTGTTTGATTTCTTGGTGTTTTCTCATTCAAACCTTTCAGATATGTTCTTGTTTAAAAGATAACAGTATAAAAGATGGGTCAGGTAGTCAGAAAATAATACTGGAATGTACCCGATTCACCTGTAAATTATTGATTGAGCTTATTATAAGTAGGGCAACAATGATAAATTCGTACATGTATTTTCAATTCATTCTGTCTATTAAAATCATACCTTTGGTGGTTATGAATTCATATGAACTCAATTCTTGCATGGAATAATAAGTCCAAAATTATGATTTAGTTGTTGGGGAGACAGGGCTCTTCAGACTCTCTAAGCTACAGACGACTACACACTAATTTGCCAAGATCATTGGCTACTTTCTTGGGTATAGATAGCTAGCAATATAAAGGTTACTTCCCCTGGAATCTCAGTGAATTGCCAATCTCTGAAACAGAACAAAAAATCGATCAGCCCAGAGTTCAGTATAAAATGAAACACCCACCCTTTTAGGTGTATTAGTGTTTATTCCCTAACATCTCCCTCACACAGAAGAACAGAGCTCCATTAGCTGGCATTGCCACTGGTTTGTTGAAATTTAGGAGGAATCAGAATGGAATTCCTTTCAATTGTCTCTTTAACATAATCATAAGAGTTGAATGGGGCCTCAGTGCAAGATCCTCAACTAAAGCCTCCCCAGCAGAGAAGTAGATCCCACAACCTCTCTGTGGTGTTGGATCTATTTCCAACCCATTCTTACTTTAGAGTTAAATACGCAACTATGTGTAAGCATGTCAGAGTTATCTGCAGTAGAATCTCATTTATCCAACCTTCGCTCATCCAACATTCTGTATTATCCAACGCAGTCTGCCTCCCGCCCAGCTCCTCAGCTGTTTCAATACATTGCAGTTTTGGTACTGAATTCGTAAATACTGTAATCACTACATGTTGCCATGTATTGAACTGCTTTTTCTGTCAGTTTGTTGTAAAACACGATGTTTTGGTGCTTAATTTGTAAAATCATAACATAATTTGACGCTTTAATAGGCTTTCCCTTAATCCCTCCTTATTAGCCAACATTTTCGCTTATCTAACGTTCTGCCAACCCATTTATGTTGGATAAGTGAGACTCTACTGTGCTTCAAGATAAGGAATAAACGGCAGGAAATGGTTTCTTCTTGTCATATGATATAGCACACTTCCTTGGAGCATAGCAACTTTTTTCAATATGACTATTGATATTTCCTGCTCAAAGTATAATCCTTATTTTTTATGTAATGGCAATATTCCAAGTCACTCTAGATCAGTGGTTCTCAACCTGTGGGTTCCCAGGTGTTTTGGCCTACAACTCCCAGAAATCACAGCCAGTTTACCAGCTGTTAGGATTTCTGGGAGTTGAAGGCCAAAAACATCTGGGGACCCCAGATTGAGAACCACTGCTCTAGATTGTGTTCTCTGCAGTCAAGTCTAGACTTCCACCCTGTAGGGCAGCTAATACAGCTTTGAACACATTCAAAGAAATACTGCATTGCTTTATTGCAGTATATTCTTAATTCCATGCGACAGGAATTAATTCGTCTTGGAAGTGATATATGAACAACTATGTTATACTACATTAGTTTTAGAGGAGGGAGGGGAAAGAAAGTAGGGATGTTTGTTGACGGTTAGGCAATAACTTGAAGTTTATCTTTCTGTCTAGTATGTACGTGGCTCTGACCCTGTACTGAAGCTATTGGATGACACTGGGAACATTGCTGAAGAGCTGAGCATCCTTAAGTGGAATACAGACAGCGTGGAAGAATTCCTAAGTGAAAAGCTGGAACGACTCTAAGATCTCTCTCTCTCTCTCCCTCTCTCTCTCTCTTTTGTATTAAATTCTTTATTTTTCACATCATTTTTCATCATGGTAATCTTCTCCGACAAAGTGTGATAAACCCCGGAAATCATTCCAGCTTCTGCATTAATTTTAAAGCTATCCACTATTGTGTGATACTCCACATCTTTTAATTAGAAGCAGAAGCTTCATGTATACCACATTTGACAAATTGGCAGGCTGAACAAATGGCCTGTCGGAGTACATCTCAGCTCATCTTAGTAGATGGAGATCATTAATGAAGCGCTGTGAGACAAATGTAATGCAAATACTGAAATTTGTTATAATCTGGCCTCTTTTTTGTTTTAATCAGACCTTTTTGTCAGCTCCCAATAACTGAGAAGATTACTGTGCTCTTTTTTATATGTTGTTGCTCTTTGTACAGTGATGGGAAGTTGGAACCAAATAAGATGTACTCTGCTTCCCAAAGAGCTGTCTCCTAGCATTCTCTGCATTTTGTATTTCCCAGCAGTCCTTTTTATAGAATCGTTATGTACGAATTCATAATGAATGCTTGCTCTAAAAAAAATCTTGCTCATTTGGAAGAACTCATGATCTGGATTGACTGGAGGATGCCAGCAAAATACTCTTTAATGATGACTACATGTAAAGCCTTTAACAAAAGGCATGTGTAGGTCTGATGTCAGATGTACTTTTGTTAAATCCTTTTGCTTTGATTCAGCAGACATGAGTTCAGTGGAGGAGAAAATATTAGCAAGCACAATAAACCTACTTCACAGAATCTGTAGCCAGTGTCTCATTCAATCAATACATCACAGCAAAATATTTGAAGGAAAACTGTTTTACAAACTAGATTTGGACAAAGTGTGCTCTGGTGATGTATACCAGTTTATCCAATTGGTTTATTTGGCAGAAGAAGGGCATCTATCAACATAGACATATCTCTTAATATCCAATTTTGTGTGATCCCATTTTCATAAACAAACATAATAGATGTAACAGCAAAAATGCAGATAAACCATAACAATAGACTATTCAGCAGGTCATTGCCTCACATAAGAAAATACACACTCTCTAAAGCAGGATGTCTTAAAGTTTTCCACTTGTGACTGCTTTTTACCTGAGAAATGTTTACATGACCCCAGGTATATAGGGTTATAACACAGGTACTGAAAATAAATCAGGATTTGCAAAGCCTGCTAAAAATGCTGGTTTTCCTTTTAGGTTAGAATTATAGAATAATAGAGTTGGAAGAGGCTACAAGGGCCATCTAGTACAATCCCTGCCATGCAGGAAAAGCACAATCAAAGCCCCCTCGACAGATGGCATCTCCGGCACAATGATTTACAGCTGGAGCATTTTCTACAGAGTCCAGTGCCAGCTGCACCTTGTTAACAGATTCATGTAAATGTGTGGTCCCTTTTACTGTTTCCCAAGTTGTTCCAAGTGACCCCAACATTGAGCTAAGGGGACCCCATTTGGGGTCGGGACCCATCATAATTTAAGAGGCAGTGCTTTAAAGAACCATGTAAGGTTTTTTTTCCCCTCAGGAAGAGTACATGACACAAAGCTTCATAATGACTTTGATGAAATACATCTCATCATATAGTAGAGATACAGAATAAATATCCCTTTTCCAAAAATCTTGGAACCAAAAACATTTCAATTTTTGCGTTTTCCTGGATTTTGGAATAGCTGTATTTATATATATTGTATTTTCTGGCGTATAAGACTACTTTTTAACCAAGGCACATATTCTCAAAAGTCGGGGGTCATCTTATATGGTGGTGCTGAAACTTACGAGCTGTACTGGAGAATCTGCGGTCACCGCATATGGTGGGAGGAGCTCAAAAACAGCTGTGGCTGCATCCCTGCCATGTGCAGTGACCATATGAAAGCAGCAAGGACAGTGCTGTACAAGTACAGTAGAAGAAAATCCACTCACCAGGATTCATGGAAAGAAGTGACTTAATATGGTTCTGATGGTTAGGTGAGGGAGCACCTCACTGGGAAGGTGTAAGTGAAGGGTGAAGCAATCTACAGGCATCCAGCCCGCCCAGGATATGGAAAAAAAGAGATAGAGTGTCGCTGTGCCCAGAAAAGCATGCCTCTCACCCATCTAGCCTACCCTTGTATCCTATTACCATACCTCCTTCTCTGCCTCTCAGATCTCGCTCCTGAGGACTGCAGTGAAGCAGCGCATACCATATTGAAATCAAATCTGATGTTTTTAATTTTTTATTTGGTGTGCATTGGAAGAGGAGTAGTCTTATACGGCAAGTATATCCCAAACTATATTTTAACTGGAAAATTTGGGGGTTGTCTTATATGCCCAGTTGTCTTATACGCCGGAAAATATATTTTTCTTTTTTTAAAAAAAGCGTCAAGGTTCTTGAACTGCTAGTTTTCCCTACCCACACCTGCTCATACAACTTCCTCAGATACGACTCTGCTCTGCATGCCTGGGGGTGTGGGAAGAATGAAAATGAAAATGTGAGATATACATATGAAGAGAAGCCTCTTTTCTGCCTAACTCACTACCAGATTATAGCCAACACTACCGACTGTCCCAGCTCTCTCTCTTGTTCTTGTGCCTTTGGCAGGTCTTTCTGGGGGTGTTATGTCTCTTGCTGGTGAAGAAAAGGAGGAGGAGTGAAGGAGAAGGAGTTCTACTAGGAAAGCAATGAAAGAAGCAAAACTTGATGGGGCACCATCTTTGTAGCTGTGAGCTGAATGGAAAGGGCCTCCTGCCACCACCCACAATGCTGATGGGGATGGAGGGAGGGGAAGGGACAGCAACAAAGAAGTGAGGCACTCGCTCTCTTCATCCATTCTAGTGCAGAGGCAGGTAGAAGAAGAGAGAGGAAGGCTGGTTAGCTGGTGGCAAAAGTTTCACATTTTAGACTCTTTCAGATTTCCTGATAAGTGATATTCAACCTGTACTGCTTTATTAGAACAGCTTCTGTTTTGTGTCTCTTGATAGTCTTCATGTTACCAAGGTCAGGGTGGAAGGCTAAACTGCTACACACACATACACTCCTACAAGAGCCCTGTAGAGACTCTGGATTATTCTCAACATGTTTTAGAGGCTTTGGGGGTCATTTAAGGACTTTTGATGCCTAAGAGAGACCCATTTTTAACAACAGAAAATGAGCCGAAGTCACTTCCAGTTTCAAAAAAGGATTCTGTTGGGCATAGATTGGCCTGAGGGATTCCAAATGTAGAAATTCCCTCAATTTCAGGGTATTTCAAGCAAAGTATATTTTATGTGCAATTTATTTTTACCCTGAAAGGCCACAGGAACAGCCCGCTGACCAGTTTGCCCACTCAAGGGCTAAATAAAATTAAAATGCACACTCCTAGGCTTAGGAACACCCTGCTTTTAATATCAAATAAAGTGTTCTGTCAGCTTGGCAATTGCCCAGGAGGTACAATTCTGCTTGTGAATTATTTATGCATCATTGATATGGTCCAGACTTTCTGCATACCCAAATTAAGTCACACTGTTAATTGGAAGTTTAGCACTCTCCATTTACACTACTGGAGAATTAAAGATTACTTTAAAAGTCATCATTGCCCTTTCTTTTCCATGAGAATAATGCATAATTAAGAATTGCTTTTCTGGAAAGGCATGGCGCCTGATTGCTGATCACTGCCATCCATCTGATGACTGTCCTATATAATCAAAATGTTCATGATCACTTGTGTTGGTTCAGCATTTCACTGTTGTGCAGTCATTTTTAGAAAGGGTAGTTTTTTTCTGGGTCGTGCATTAATCTCCTTTGCTCTTTTTAATGACAATTCCCATATATTACAATTTCTCAAAAACTGATTAAGTATAAGTTTGCTTTAATTTTTCAAAAAACGTTTCTTTTTCCAATTCCAATTACAGCAATTGCTCATGCATATCTTCAATTACTAGGTGCTTTGACTACAGTGCACACACCATTCAGTGCTCACAGTTAAACACTTTTAACAGTATGATATCTAGGTATTAGCACCTGATGTTCAAGCAAAGATGTGCGCTTCTTCAAAAGCTAGCAACAATAATCTGCAGTTCTTTAATATATTTTATGGATTACTTTCCCCTAAAGCAATCAACCCAAGAAGCTTTGGACTGGATCCAGATGTAGATGTATTTGGATATAAAATCACACAGGCTGTTTAGTTCATATTAAGTTATTTTTCACTTACACCCCACTTTTCCTGTTTATTCAAAGTGGCTTCAAGATACCTTTGGTATTTTGTGGCATTTGGAAGAAACTATTCTGAGAAATCTAACTCGGCATATAGAGTTCAAATCAATAATTAAACTACTAAAGGCCTCATGGAAGAGATGAGGTTTATTTTTCTCAGATTCTTGAGAAGTATAAAATAGGGAATTTCAGCAAAAAAGCAACAATATTTTAAGCAAAAAGAAGAAAGAAACACTACCTTTGTCTACCAGGCACCTCTGAATCATTAAGTAGTGCTCATTCAAACCTTAATCCTGGACTGCATCAAGAAGATTTCAACTACTATGACCTCATCACACTGGAGAAAAAATCCACTTGAAATCCAGTTTCTGTCGCCTGCAGAATTCTGGGGTTTGTGAGGCTGTTAAAGGCTCCTCCCTAAACTACAAACTCCAGAATTCTGCAGGAGGCAGAAACTGGATTTTAAATGGATTTTTTTCTCTAGTGATGAAATCTGTTTCATTAGGAAAGAAATCACCATTTTTAGTTTTATATAATAGCCGATACCAGAGTCCTATATGACTTTTTACTTAATGTTATTTTGCACATTGCTAGCTATATAGAATTGGAGCTTAAAAACCTAGCTACTGGATTGCAAAGATGCATAGCAGGATACTGGCAATAGCACCTGATTAACATTGGTGTCCAATGTGTGGTTTTTTCAAGACTAACGCAATGTGCATCAGCCCTATCATTTATTATTTATTTATTAGCTACAGTTGTATACCACCCCTCTCAGCCCACAAGCAACTCGAGGCGGTTCACAAGGTAATTCAATGCCATCAACATCATAAAAACATTAAAACACTTAAAAGCATTAACATATCAAATAAGACCATAGGAATAATAAAAAACAAATGTTTATTGGGAGCTTTGCCTAGAGATGGGAAAGCTCCGAAAAAATGCGGAAAAAGAAATTGGGAGAAAAAATGGAAAAATTGGGGGGAGGGAACCGGGGAGGGATGGAACTGGGCTTTTTCCAGGCCTTCCCATCTCTAGCATTACCACATAATAACATAATAGCAGTCCTAAACTCAATAGGAATGTTGTGAAGCTGCCCAATCCTAATTCCGGGAAGTGTAAATTCACTTATGAAAGTGTAACACCACAACAAAATCCTGTATGATAAATTACTTCGCATTCTACAGATGTAAAAACAAGATCAAATTCTAGGAGCGATCCCTTCTGTTTGAAAAAATTAAATGGATCCCCACACCCTCCACCCTGGAAACCCCTAGGTTTCCTGAAAAACTACTGAAGCATTGTGGGTGTCACGGAAGAAACCCCAAAGGTGACACGAGGCATGCAAGATTAAGTCATAATTGGGAAATATTGTTTTTCTGTACTGGGAGCCTCTCCTGAATCCTAGTGCCATCTGTGAATGGGGGGAATATTTCCATTGACAGAATGGCCAGTATGAAGCTAGCCTATTGTAAATAAGCATTGGAAAGAAGAATTTTGTGTGCTCGAAGGCACATACACCAAATACTTTCATCTAATAAAACAACATCTGGCTCATATGTAGCAAACAACCCATTTGGGGAGA